AGCGTACAACTTCTCTTCCCTCAATCTTTGGAGTACAACCCTCAAGTGACCCTTGTGCTCTTCCTCACCCTGAGAATAGATCAAGATGTCATCTATAAACACCACCACAAAAGAATTAAGGTAGGGTTTGAAAACCCTATTCATCAAATCCATAAAGAGATCCGGAGCATTAGTCAACCCAAAAAATATCACCACAAACTTATAGTGCCCATACCTAGTACGAAAGGCCGTCTTGAAAATATCACACTCCCTCACCTTCACTTGATGATACCCTAACCGAAGATCAATCTTAGAGAAGTGACTAGCCCCATGCAATTGGTCAAATAAATCGTCAATCCTTGGAAGAGGATACCTATTCTTGACGGTGACCTTATTAAGTTGTCGATAATCAATAAACATTCTAAGAGACCCATCTTTCTTCTTCACAAGTAAAACCGGAGCACCCCAGGGAGAATGACTAGGTCTAATAAACCCCTTCTCTAACAAATCTTTTAATTGCTCTTTCAACTCCGCCGGGGCCATACGGTAAGTGGGGATAGAAATAGGTTGAGTATCGGGAAGGAGGTCTATACCAAGATCTAGCTCCCCTCATTGTCAAAATACAATTGCAAGCTAAAGTCTCAAAACATAGGAGTAGGAAACATAACATAGTCCTCAAATCATTGAGGACTCACCAACAAACTCGGATAAGGACCGTACTAGCCACGTGAATGGAGAGAAGGATGAAGAGTACCTCCGGTCCCTACATGGTGACATCATGTAGGCAAAATATGCGTTAGTACTTGTATGCATGATCAAAGTGAAGTCAAAACATGTTTAAGTAAATCTATACTAATAGTAGATATCATATGTGTATGCATGATCCAACCAATCTATAACCCCAACTTAGGATGGGGGATGCCGTTCACACCCGAACACCCTGGTGGCAAGGTATAAACCCCTCACATGGTTGATGTTGGTCACACCCCAAGCATCCTAGGTGGTGAGATATAAACCTCTCACATGGTTGATGTTGGTCACACCCAAAGCATCCTAGGGGGTGAGATATAAACCTCTCACATGGTTGATGTTGGTCACACCCCAAGCATCCTAGGTGGTGAGATATAAACCTCTCACATGGTTGTCCGGTTCTTTTCCCCCGAACCGGGCATGGTCATGCAACACTTTATATAGGAAATTCCCATTAGGCTCTAATGCAATCTCACGTATGGAATGAACATATACACAAGCTTAGTTTGTCATCAACACATCTCTGGATTTCCATACATCTCATAACTCAAGCTTTAAAGCATCGATTCATCAATTCTCCATAGTTGGACATTTTGTCAAACACCTTGAAGGCATGTAATGGAATCAAAAAGCATGGAAAATAGGGTAGTAATTTTGCAGCCAAACCAGTGAACAACCTACAACAACACCTTTTAACACCCACAATACCACATGAAAATCTCCACATCCATTCCAAATTTAGATTCAAGTTCTAGAGTCACAACATGCTCAAAACAATCACTTTTCATGTTTAAAATTCAATGTGCAGGAAATTATTACAAAGAACAAGACTAATTTATGAATCTTAACTTAAACCATGAATTAGTGAGTAGAATAGAGTCTAGTCACTATGGGTGGAAGGACCCATGAGTTCAACACCACATACCTTGATTTCTTATGAAGGTCTTCAGAGTGACTTCAACGGAAGCTTGGAACTTGGAGCAAGAGTCTCTTCAATCTTGAGGAAGGTTTTGGATTAGGGTTCTTGAGAGAACTTGAGAGAAAATGTGTCTAAGTATGAAATAGGTGTTTTGGGAAATGTTTTAGAGATGGGAATTGAACTAATGGTATATAGGAAATAACATATGCCCTTTGGAAAAATGGTCCAACACTTAGAAAAAAAAATGAGGCGGGTGAACAGTAAAAACGCTCACTGGAAATTGCATTTCCTGCCGGATAGATTTTACGAAAATGGGCATAACTTCTTCGTCCGAACTCTGAATGAGGTGAAACGAAGTGCGTTAGGTAGCTAACTCCAAGGGATTTCCATGGATATGTTATGGGCCACCCAATTATTTGTGTGCTAGGAGATATGACCCTCAAAAGTAGACCCTCGAAAAAGGCTTCACTTGAAAATTTCGGATTTTGATACGGTTGCTCTAAAATTTGGGTTAGACCCATTTCCCACTCAATTTGACCCCCTAAACAAGAATATGAAGTCGGATTTTAAAAAAACGAAACAGATTTTTTTGATATAGCTAAACAAGTTTCCGGTAACTTCCAAAGCACATTTTTAAGAACCTTTTGGGTCATTTCAGATAGTCAACTTATCCCCATTCTAAAAAGGAAACTCTAAAAACTAAGTACCTAAAAGAGAGGACTCCTCTCGATACAAAAAATCTTGAAATCATAAATAAGGGAGACTCTCCCTTTACAAGTAGACAAAATAAAACAAAATAAACTCTAGACCTATTCAAGAAGGCTATGATTTTCAATCCTAGCTAGTTGAAAAGGTTTGGATTCCATTCAAGGTGGTTCTTTGATCCTCTTGATTTTCCTTCTTCTAAAACTTGCCATTTCGACCATGTCTAGTTGATAATAGGCTCTTGCTTCTCTTGGTAGTTGCTGGGTGTTGCAATATATTTAGGGACAAGTAAGCTTGTGACTTTGCTTTGATAAGGAATCGGCCACAAAGTTAGCCTCTCTGTATGTGTGTTTGCAACGAAAGTTGTGTGTTTCTCTGATGAGTTCCTGAAGTTGTTGTAGTTGTGTGCTGATGCTCCATGGAGGTTTGGCTTTCTGCGTGATCCAGTGTACAAGTAGTTGCGAGTCCACTTCCAGAACAACCTTTTTGTAGCCCAGCTGGAGTACCCATGTCATACCAAAAATGGCTGCTCCTATTTCGGCTTGATTGTTAGTGCCTTCCCCCAAAGGAGTAGCAAATGCTAATAGCATTGCTCCCATTTGATCCCTTAGGATGCCGCCTGCTCCAATTCTGCCCGGGTTGCTTAATGCACTGCCATCCGTGTTGATTTTGACCCAACTAGCTGGAGGCTTTATCCATCTAACGAGTGTCACTTTGATATCATGACTACAGCTCTCCCCTAGCTGAATTAGTTCCTTCCAATTTGAAGGCCATTTGATTTGGGGGAAGTTAGTACTCATTAGTTTGTAGTTGTCCTTGTAGATGGCATATTTAACTCGACTAATATTGGACGATTTGCCTCCGTATTTACTAGCACAACGATTCTTCCAAAGGTTCCAACAAATGAATAATGGTGTCGCTTGTAGTAACAGCTTGTGTGCTTCATTGTTATACTTCGTTGACCACCATTGTATGATGAGTTGAGTAATAGAGCTGTGATCTGTGATGATTCCAGCAGCATCTGCAAAGCTTCTCCACACATATGTCGCGAACTATCCGATGTTGAATATGTGCTCTATCGTGTCGAGGCCAGACCTGTTACAACAGCAAAAACAGCTTGTTGGCTCAATGCCAAAGCTAGTTAGTTTTTCATTAGTAGGGAGTTTGCCTCTTAGTGTTCTCCACAAAATAAATGAAATTTTAAAAGGGATACACTTATGCCAAATGAATGAGTTAAAATTGGTCTTGGTCCTCTTTTCTCTGATCCCGTTCCAGGCAGATGAACAGCTGAAGTTCCCATCCATGCATGGTTTCCATATTGCTAAGTCTGGGAGGTCCTGCTGGTTGGAGAGTTCTGTGGAGAGAATGCTGGCCAGCTGACTGTTAGGTGCTTGTTGTAGAAGCTTGTTCCAGTTCCACTGTCCATCAAGTCGAAAGTCTGCCACTGTGGTGTTGTTGAATCTGTTGCTATTGGTAGAGTAATGAGACAGAGGTCCAATGCCCAGCCAATTATCCCACCAAAAAGAGCAGTTGCCAGAGTTGAGCTTCCATTGAATGTGTTTTTCGACTTGAAGTTTGTTGTGCATAAGATGTTTCCATGTCAGTGACTCCCCTGTATCCCATTTCTTACTAATTGGGTTAGACCTTTGGCAATATTTAGCCTTCAAAAAATCCCCCCAAAGAGTTTGTTTGGATCTAAAGATCCACCATTGTTTGTATTGGGAGGCTAAACACACATCTTTGAGGTTCCTCATACCAACACCCCCTTCATCGTACGAGAAGCTTAAATTTTTTCATGAAGACCAGTGATATTTTTTCCTCTCATTCCTCCATCCCCAAAAGAAGTCGGTCGTAATGCTTTGGATCTGCCTGAGGACAGTGACTGGAGGTGTTATTGAGGCTAATAGGTAAATAGGTAGGGAATGTAAAACATGCTTGACAAGGATTACTCTACCACCATAACTTAAAAGCTTAGTCTGCCATCCTGTGATCCTGCATAAAACTTTGTTAATATGGTCAGAAAAATAAATAATCGTAGGTCTACCAACAAATAGAGGGCAGCCAAGATAGGTGATAGGGCCCTCCTTTCGCCTGAAACCTGTGATTCTTTTGATTCTGTCCTTTGTGATATTGAATGCACTCGAGTGAACCATGAAGTGGCTTTTCTCGGTGTTAACTGATTGGCCTGAGGACTGCTCATAGGACTGGAGAGTTTGCATGATAGCTGCAGTGTTTTCTGTCTTCCTGAGGTGAAGAGGATAATATCATCCGCAAAGCCTAAATGATTCACTTGGGGCCCTCTAGGCTCCATGAAGAAACCATGGTATTCGGGGTTGTTGTACAACCTGTTCAGAGATCTGGACAGTACCTCTGCACCTAAAATAAATAGGGCAGGAGATAACGGATCACCTTGCTTGAGTCCTCTCGTGGATTGAAAGAAACCATGTCTTTTCCCATTGTCAATAATAGAGTACCAATTGTTAGCCATGATTCTCCAAATCATATCGATAAGAACTTCATCAAATCCCATCCTTCGTAGCACCAAACATATATAAGACCAAGACACCCTGTCATACGCTTTAGCCATATCCAATTTAATAATAGCATTGCTTCCAATATTAGGTTTCTTAATTTGGTGGATAATTTCTTAGGCCAGCATAATATTTTCTGAACTACTTCTCCCTTTGACGAACCCCGACTGATTAAGGGAAACCAAACTAGGTAGAATAGGACTTAGTCTAGAACTTACTAGCTTAGATATAATCTTACTAGTGAAGTTGCTTAGACTAATGGGCCTGAATTCTGAAAGTTTGTTAGGATTTTTCACCTTAGGGAGGAGCACAATGCAAGAGTGAGAGAAATACTTGGGAATCATTTGACCACAAAAGAATGCATGAGTTACACCAAAAAGGTCATGTTTGATAATGTGCCAACACTTTTGAAAAAAGTATCCATTCATCCCATCAGGACCTGCTGCAGAGTTGGGGTTCATGAAGAATACTACTTCCTTCAACTCTTCCAGATTAGGCATAGCAGTAAGTCCAACATTTTGTTCCTGGGTGACCATCTGTGGTATACAGTCCAGGACATCCTCATTTATGATTTTGTTATCTCCTGTGAAGATTTTCTGGAAATGGTCGCAGGCAGCTTCAGCAATAACCTCATCTCCCTGTATCCATTCCCCATCCTCCCTGATAATTTTATGAATGAAAATCCTTCGTCTTCTTCCCCTTATCAGGGAATGGAAATATTTTGTATTGCAGTCACCTTCCTTGAACCACTGCAACTGTGTTTTTTGTTTCAAAATGGAGTCTTTTATCTTCAAGAATTTGATATACCTAGCATTGAGTTCATGAAGTATAGTTATATTACTCTCACTTGGATCTTGAATCAGCTGCTTCTCCATTGTTTTGACCTTCTCCTCAAAATCCCTGACTTTAGCAAAAATATCCCCAAACTCCTCTCTGGACCAGTTGCTAAGAGTGTTGGACAATCTCTTCAGTTTCTGATGAAATTTGCACATGTTGTTACCCTCAACATTCCTGTCCCAGTAGGCTTTAACAATATCAAGGAAATTAGGTTGGTCAGTCCAGCAATTAAGAAATTTAAAATATTTGATCTGATCATCTTCCCTAGCATTCATTTCCATCAATAGAGGGCAGTGATCTGACCCTACTGAAGGTAGATGGGTGATAGTAGTCTGAGGCATCTTTTCCAGCCAGGCATCAGTAACTAGAGCTCTGTCCAGTCTTTTCCAAACTCTCTGTTGTATACCCCTGTTGTTGGACCAGGTAAATTTCTGTCCACTGAAGCCTAAATCTATAAGACCATAGGCCTCAATAATAGCAATGAATTCAAGACTTTTTCTCATGTTGTAAGGAACCCCTCCCAGTTTTTCTTCAATAGAAGTAATAACATTGTAGTCTCCCACAGAACACCAAGGCCTATCAATATCAGCAGATTGATGTAACATCCTATCCCATAAAGGCCTTCTGAGATGGTCTTTACATTTGGCATACACAAAAGTGGTGGTGAAGTGGTTTTGGAGTTCATTATGCCTAAATTCACAGGTAATTTGTTGTTCATCCTCCTCTAGAACTACACAATCAATGTCCATGTTCCAAAAGAGCCAGATTTTACCATTGCAATTGCTCACACCATGATCCATAGCTAACTGATTTTTGGCACTTTGAATGTTAGTATTGTCCGAGAAAGGTTCCATGATGGCAATGATAGATAATTGATGCATCTTCTTGAGCATTTTGAGTCTTTCAATTACACCTTGGGTGTTGATCCCCCTCACATTCCAAATAATTGTATTAATCATTGAAATGATGGGGATGTAAACAGCCTAGTGTTTGGTCTGCCAGCAGTGACAGTGTTGATATCCTGAACATGGAATTTGAATCTCTCATGGTGTAACCCTCTAGGTGATAGTCCCTGACTATTAGCCACCTGTTGAATTTCCTCTGCAAAGTCTTTATCTGGATGAGGACTAAATTCTCTAATAAGAAGCTCACTAGTCTCATCATCCTCATCAGGATCTTTGAGGGATTGATTATCCACATCCGGTTCATCCTCTGAATTATCAACTGCATATTCATCTATTATAGGGCCTGTGTTCAGCTGACACTTTGCAGACCTGTCATCAGGAGGGACCTTAATTGGAGAGCTCATGTATTGGGTTTGTAAAGGGGTAATATCCATGCCCAAGTGTTCATCAACCATAATGAACTTCTTGCAAACTTCCCCTTCTTTTTGTTGTTCCCCCTGTTGGACATTATCCTGATGTATGCTCTGTCTTTTTTTTGCAGCCTCTCTCTTTTACTTACTGGGTTTGTTCTTGCTTTTGGGAGCATTTCCTTGGTTGCTAGTGCTTGATTTGGTTCCCATATCTTTTGCCATGGCTCCTTTGTTCTGTTTATCTGCAGTTCCTGCCCTTACTTGCTGCTTTTCTTTATTATTTTCAGTACTAATCAGATTCCTTGGCCCTGACTGTACCTGTTGATGTGTCTGTTGGTGAAGCTGGACAGTAGTGGCAGCAAGGGCTCTAAGGTCAGGACTATGGTCAAGGTGTGTACCCTCATGCATAACATGAGACAAATTCCCCCCTTTGGACCCCTTTTCCTGCAGGTTAGTGTGGCTCTCCTGACATCCCCCTTCCATCCCTCCTTCAACTTCAACATCACCATTAGAAATTAAAATATTGGGGTTTGTGGGAATTGGGAGCATTGAGTCAATACCTGTGTTCTTGTTATTTGCTTGGATTTCTGTTTGCAAGATTTGTTCTTTTTGGTTGTGGTATGCTTTCGACTTGCTTTGCGAATCTTGTGTTGCTTTCCCTTCATTGCTGTTGTGTCCCTGAGTATCTTGAGACTGTTTTTCCTGCATGCTAAGGTTAGAAAAAAGATTATGATTAGAAGTATTATGTATACCTTTTTGCTGAGTTGTGAGCTGTGGTTGATCTCTTGGCACTTTGTTCTTTGGTGAGGTAGGTCTCCACACTGCCTTCTGTGTTTTCTCCTCTTGTGGTTTGTTGTTTTTTCTTCTTGACACTTGCCATTCTTCTTCCTTTTGCTGTTCAGGTGTGTTCCCTTCTTTGGTGTTTCGATGTTGTTGTTCCTCTTGCTCCATTGTCCTGACTTGTCTATGCTCATTTCCTTGCTGCCCCTGTTCACTCTTACTTATATTTTTCATCTCTGCACCTAATTCTTTTCTACGTTTGAGGTCTTCATCTCTTATTTTGAAATTGCAATCGCCTATCATATGACCTTGATGCTTGCAGTAGGCACAGTAGGGAGGGATATTTTCATATTTGATTGGTTGCCATCTCCCTCTGGTGAGGTCCTCCTCATCCAAGCCTATCCAAACGTGTCGAGGTCTAGTTTTGGTGAGGTCTACTTGGACTTTAACCTTGGCCATACTAGCTCTAGTTCAGTTAATGGATGCTGGATCTAAGTAGAGAACTTTGCTCACTGATTCCAGCAGGGGTGTGATGAACTTTTTCTTGAAGCAGTGCCATGGTAGACCTGGAAGCAGTACCCATATGGGAACAATGGGTATTTCTTCCTCAGGCTTAAAGTTGGGGGTCCAGGCTTGTATTCTCATGAGTTTGCCCTCAATGGTCATTCGTTGTTGTGTCCATACCGTGTTATAGTCCAATTCATTTTCCAAATCAATAAATACATGCCTAGCATTATATTGTGCAATATTGACCCCCCATTCAGTTGAGTTTGTAAGATGAAACTCTTCCTGATGAGTTCTATCTTTGGCATGGTGGTACTGAACTTACCTATAAGGGTATATTTGCAATCCACGGCTAACTTGTTCATGAAATCATCCATGTCATAGATCACAACAGGCTGGCCTTGTTTAGTAGTGTGCTTGGGTGGAACAAGTTCAATAGGAATGGTCTGCGTAGCATGGATTTGCCTGAGCCTAGCAACTAGAGTTTGCACCACAGTGTAGGGAGCAGGTTCGACACTTGGGACCTTTTTGGTATTTTGGTTCTCGTTGGAAGTGTTGGGCTCTTTGGACTGGTTGGGTTGTTGGATTTGCTGGTTCTGCTGGTTAGAACTGGTATGCCTATCAAAATTGCTAGAAAGTTTTGGGAAGTCCCTATGTAGCTGCTTGGTTCAGTATTCCTTCCATGTTCAGTTGGTTGAGCTAAATTTTTTCCTCCCACTTTATTTTGGTGTCCATTTTCCTACTGTTGTGAGTCATTATTTCCTTTACCAGTTTCCTGCTCATCCCTCATTATACTCTTTTGCCCATTGGCACTCTCGATCACATGATCATCACTACTAATCCAGTTAATAATATTTTTACTAGAGTTAGAATTAAAGGACTTACCTGCCTGAGTGCTCTCCACGTTTAGTTTTTTGCTCAAGGGAGCGATATTTGCTTGCTGATGTTCCTGCAAGGAGCCATGAGACAGTACATTGTTAAGCGTAGGATTCATACCTGGTTCTGATTGTCCTCCATTGCTGGGAATTATGTCTACTGGTTTCACTCCAAAAGAGAAGTGTGATGAGTTTTCCACATCAATGACTTCCGAATTAGTAGAACTTGTCATGTCCAGGTGATCATTTTGGCACTGTGAAACTCACGTAGCAGCTTGTGGAACTTCCATCTCCATTTGTTGGTTCCCTAAAGTATTGTGACCTTGCTTTTGACCATTAGGCCCTGCTTGGTCATGGGAAAAAGTTTCTTGTTGTTGTTCTTCAAGTCTGCAGCTATGTTCATCCGGTTTAGTTTGTGAATTGGTTTTATATTTGAGGGAACTCGTTGGGATCTTATTCTGGCTATGTTCTTGAACTAATTTTGTGGATATGTTGGTCAGATGGACCTCCTCGTCCAACGAGCAGTTGCCTCCAGTGGCGCCGTTGTCATCTTCGACTGCTTGCTTACCGGATTTCATGTCGTCGGTGATTTGACCGGCCAATTTACTTGGGCTTGGTATGGGACGCACCTCTTCACCAGGTGAACAAACCCCAGTGGTCAATTCGCCGTGAAAATGGTGGGAAGCTGGATGAATTTGAAGGCGCAGCTCCGGTGAATTTGCGTCGATTTCTCCAAAATTCGCCTCGCCAAATCTCACAATTGGCTCAATAGAATCATGTGAAATCGCGATGTTCATCGCCTCAGTATTTCACGATTTCGTAGAGTTGTAGGATGAATTAGATGAAGCTTCTTGGTGGGTTTTGTTCGTCTCCTCAGAGCGCCTCAGATGGCTTTGGTCCGGCGGCCTGAAAAAGGCTCACCGGCGGTGCACGCGCCATTCCAGCAGATGAAGTAGCCATTGGGACTGTAGTAGGTGTGCAGATATTTTGAGAGAGTCCCGCGTAAAGAGAGAAATTAGAGAGAGAAAAGAATTAGGAAATGAGGAAGTGATGGTTGTAGAGTTTAAGGTTTAGGGTTTAGGGTTTACGTTTAGGGTGTAGGATTTTGGGTTTAGGATTAAGGGTTGAGGGTTATGGATTAAGGTTTAGGGTTTATGGTTTAGGGTTAGGGTTTAGGGTTAGGATTTAGGGTTTTGAGTTTAGGATTTAGGGTTTAGGGTTCTAGGTTATGGGTTTAGGGTTTAGGGGTTAGGATTTAGTGTTTAGGGGTTAACATTTTGGGTTTATGGCTTAAGTTTACATTCACCTGGTCATCACTACTACTAAGACTAACCTCTTCTCTACAGGCATTAGAGTGAGAAGACTTACCTGCTTGAGTGTAATCTCTATTCTGATTTCTACTTTCTGAGTTGTTTTTTATTGTCTGCTGCTCCTGCATATGATCATTACCAAATTCATTAGTATAATTAATTGCTTTACCTGCTCTTTGGTGTCCACCAATGCTAGTTCTTGTATCCGTTAGTTTAAATCCAAATGAGAATTGAGATGAACTACCAACTTCAATCACTTCCAACGAAATAGATTGTGAATTGCCAAGTTGATCATTTAGGTCCTGACTTATTCTTGTAGCTCCATGCTTTGAATTCTTCTCTATTTTTTGTTGTTCTATTGCGTGTTGGTCCTGTTTTTGACCATTTGTACCTTCACAATCTTGGGAACAAGTCCCCTGTTGTTCTTCTTCAGGTCTGCATTTGAGTTCTTCATCCTCAACTTGTCTACTGGTTGCCAAATTCACTAAACTCGCCTGAATTTCATCCTGGTTATGTTCTTGAGCTATATTGATGGTTATATTGGCATGGTGGACCTCCTCATCCATAGAATAAGTTCCCCTAGTAGCGCCGCCTTCACCCTGCAGCTTTTCGGTTGCTTGCTCACCGGAATTCTTGTCGCCGGAGATTGGACGGTCCATTCTACTTGAAATTGCAGTGATATGTGTCTCTTCACCAGTTGAATAAACCCCAGTGTTCAAATCGCCATGAAATTGGTGGGACGGTGGACGAATTTGATGGCGCGCGCATCTTAGACTTTTTTTTGGCGAAGGTCCCAGAGATCGCCTCATCAGTTCTCTCAATTGGCAAGATGGAATCACTTGATTTTTCAGTATATTGTAGCCCTTGAGTAGTAGAATCATTCCCTCTAAACAACTTTGGATGAATCAACCTATCGCGACCTGGAGAAATAATTTTTTGAATCCCGTCCAGCTCCCTCTCTGAATTCGCGATCTGTATCGCCTCATTGTTTCGCAAATTCGTGGAGTTGTAGGATGAATTAGGTGTTGATTGTTAGTGGGTTTTGTTCGTCTTCTCCAGGCGCCTCCGATGGCTTTGGTCCGGCGGCCTGTAAAGGCTCCCCAGCGGCTCACGCACCATTCCGGCTGAAGAGCTAGCCGTTAAAGCTATAGCTGCTGTATAATTTTGAGAGAGTTCCCCTAGAGAGGGAAATTAGAGAGAGAAAAAAAATTGAAAAATGGGAAAGCGCTGAGGTTGAGGGTTGAGGGTTTAGTATTTAGGGTTTAGGGTTTAGGGTTGAGGATTTAGGATTAGGGTTTAGGATTTAGGGGTTAGGGTTTAGGGTTTAGGGTTTAGGATTTAGGGTTTAGGGTTTATTATTTAGAAATTAGGATTTATGATTTAGGATTTAGTGTTTATGATTTAGGTTTTGGGTTTTGAGTTACGATTTAGAGTATAGGATTAAGGGTTTACGGTTTAGGGTTTAGGGTTTAAGGTTGGAGTTTAGAGTTTTTGGTTTTGGGTTTAGGTTTAGGTTTTAGGGTTTAGAGTTTAGAGTATAGGATTAAGGGTTTAGGGTTTAGTGTTTAGGGTTAAAGGTTAGGATTTAGAGTTTGGGGTTTAGGGTTTAGTGTTTAAGGTTAGGTTTTAGGGTTTAGGATTTAAAGTTTAACGTTTATAATTTAGAATTTAGGGCTTAGGATTTAGGGTTTAGGGTTTAAGATTATGGTTTAGGATTTAGGGTTAGGGTTTAGGGTTTAGGATATAAGGTTTAAGGTTAGTGTTTCGAGTAAGGGTTTAGGGTTAGTATTTAGGGTTTAGGGTTTAGGGTTAGGGTTTAGGTTTAGGGTTTAGGTTTAGGGTTTAGGGTTTAACGTTTAGGGTTTAGGGTTTAGGATTTAAGGTTTAGGGTTTAGGTTTAGAGTTTAGAGTTTAGGGTTTAAGGGTTTAGGGTTTTAAATTTAGGGTTTAGGGTTTATGGTTTAGTGTTTTGAGCTTTAGGGTTTATTGCTTAGAGTTTAGGGTTAAAAGTTTAGTGTTTAGTGTTTTAGTTTTAGGGTTTTGATGTTAGGGTTTTTGGTTTGGTGCTTTAAGGTTTAGGGTTAAGGATTTAGGGTTTAGGGTTTAGAGTTTAGGATTTATGGTATAGTGTTTTGGCTTAGCTTTTAGGATTTAGGGTTTAGGGTTTGAGATTTAGATTTTATGGTTTTGGGTTTTAGGTTTGGATATAGGGTTTAGGGTTATGGTTTAGGATTTGAGGTTTAGGGTTTAGGGTTTAGAGTTTAGGATTTAAGGTTTAGGGTTTACGGTTTACGATTTGGATTTAGTATTTAGGGATTTGGTTTAGGGTTTGTGATTAGGGTTTAGGGTTTAGCGTTCAGGGTTAGGGTTTAGGGTTTAGGGTTTTGGGTTTAATGTTTAAGGTTAAGGTTTAGGGTTTAGGATAATGGTTTAAGGTTAGGATTTAGGGTTAGGGTTTAGGGTTTAGTGTTTAGGGTTAGTGTTTAGGGTTTAAGGTTATAGTTTAGGGTTTAGCGTTTAGAGCTTAGCATTTAGGGTTTAAGGTTTAGGGTTTGGATTTAATGTTTAGGGTTTAGGATTTAGGGTTTAGGGTTTAAGGTTTTAGCTTAGTGTTTAGGTTTTAAAGTTTAGGATTTAGGGTTTAAGGTTTAGGGTTTTGGGTTTAGGGTTTGGATTTAGTGTTTAGGGTTTTGGTTTAGGGTTTTTTTTTTTTCTTTATTTTAACGACCCTTGGGGGGGTCAGGGGCTTAGCTACACCCCCAGGCCTTAC